TGTGAGGATGAGCTTGTCATACATTCCAAACCCTTTCTCTCTCCTAGGCCAGCAAGCACCTAGTACAACGTAATTGCTGTTAAAACTCTGAAATAATTTTGTACATTACTGGGTTTCCAATAAACAGCTCCTGCCCTGCACCCCACAGCACTCACCCCACACCCAGCCTGGCCACCCCAGGATTTGGCAATCAAAGAGTGAAGGCCTAGCACAGTGGGGAGAGAGCTCCTGCAGAGCCATGCTCCAGTAGGAGGTCTGTCTGATTGGTTCCATCCCAGGCCATACAGACACTTCACGGATCAGGCCTGCCAGGCTGGGGCACTGCGCTTCATCAGTAGCAGAGAGAAACCCCTGCCGTATGCTCAGCATCATTTAAAAACCTTTACGATTCCAAAAGAAGATGAGCTCACACTCCCAGGCCAAGACTTTGATGGATGAGTTGGAAGTCATTAAAGAAGGGCCTGAGACATTACACTTCCCATTCATGTCTATAAGATCTGACTAAGGTGCTCATCGTCCGTAAAGTGGGTGCCCACCCAAATCCATGGGCAGTTCTGAGACACCTGGTGAGTCAGTAGGCAGGCAAGTTAGAGGTAAAAAAACATGCATTTAAACTAAAACGCACAGAGTAATACATTTTTGCAAATGTGCTCAAATATATGGCATGTATAAGTCTACACATGGGTATTCACAGAGATATCTACACGTATATGTGCACATGTACCTAGAAATACAAAAATGAACTGGTTACCAGTCTCTAACACAGTGTTATCATTTAGTAGAGGTGGCTGCCAATTTAGCCACATATGGGATCTGGATTTGTTGGGGAATAGCCCTTAGCAGAGGGTTGGCATTTAAGAATAGGAGCAACATGTAAAAGAAAAGATACAGAGGAAGACAAAGACAAGAGAACTGGCAGGTGCCTGCTAGGCCCAGGTCAATAGCTACCTACTGGGAACAGGGTCAGAGGTGGTAGTTAACAGGGTTTTCATCATATCCACCATGTTTACTTTGCGCTAAGAATACAACATTCAAAGAAAATATAAAATAAAATCCTAGAGAGTTTAAATAGTTGAAATGTGAGTGTTTTATTCATTCATCTTTGTGTTTTTCTGTTCATCTTATTTCTCAGAAGGTAATGAACATTTCAATTGCTTCTCCATATCCATGTGCTATTGCCTGTTGCCCTCAGGGTGTAGATGGCAGGACTTGTGTATGAGCAACTTCCAATCTTCTCCCACTCCCAAAGTCCTCAGACTTCTAAATTAGCCCAGACTAGCTCTTTACAGATTAATAAACTCTTTCTTTTCACTATTGAAACTAAAATAAGCAAGGCCTGTTAGATCGCAGAACTCTGGAGGCTAAGGCAAGAAGATTATGAATTCAAAGACTGTTTGGGCTACATAACAAATTAGAGTCCATCCTGGGCTACACAGCAAGACCTTCAAAAAAATTTAAAAAGCAAATGAAATGCATAAAAAGGATGCTGTTCATTTCTAAGTTCAAACATCCATCGAATGCAGCATGAAGTTTCTGGCACGCTGGGCTAAGTGATCGATGGGTTCTGCCATAAGTTGCTCCCGGCCTAGGAGGACAGACAGATGATATGTGAGGGGAAAAAATGAGAATGCACTGTGGGCAGTGTGTAATAAGGACATTTTTACTACTGCATACTGTCTGAAACAAAGAGGTTCATGATGGAGTCTTGGGGGCTATATTTCCACAAAAGGACATTAAAAGGGGTCTAGGAAGACTAATACATCAAGAAAAGAAATAAGAGGGAAATGAAAGACATGGAAACCCTTTATATGCCAGTCCTAGGATGTAGATCCCAATGTCCTTGAAGACACTGTGCTATAGGCTTGGACACCAGCCTGTGACACTAACAGGAAGTGGCAGGACCTTGATTGGGTGGAGCCTAGAAGGAGGAAGTTAGGTCATTAGCAATATGACTTGAAATAGATATTGGGATTTCAGTCTCCTCCTGTCTTTCTCTTGGCTTCCATGCCACTATGAAGTGAGTACCCGCCCCTTCCATGCTCCATCACAATGATGAACCGAGTATCAGTGAATTAAAGTCCCTCAAAACCATCGTCCAAAAGTAACTCTTCCTCCAATATGTTGATTTCCTAAAGTATTTTGTCACAGCAGTGGGAAGCTAACTAACACAACCAATTACCTACATATTACAGCACTAACAACCCCAAAGCTAAGTGGTAGTATTTCTAACTTACACTTAAGGAAATAGAGGCTCGGAGAAAGTAAGGAACCATATGGAAGTCACAGAGCAAATATGGATTCTCACCCAGATTTGAAATTCCAAGTCTGAAAAGAGAGTGCATGTAAAGAGATGGGGTTCACCTAAGGCGGAACCGGAAGCCTTCAGGAATGCATGCTGTCACTCTTCCCCCTCTAGACTTGGATGCTCAGTGTCATAGCCTCTAGTATCAACTCGACTGGCCTTAGAATCGCCTAAGAGATTGAGGCCACCTTGGAAGTGTCAGTAAATATGTTTCAGAGAGAACTGAGGAAGAATAACCCACTTACAATTTGAGTGACATCATCCCATGGGCAGAAGGTTTAAAAGAGGAGATTAGTCTCTCCATCACGGTGAGCTGAGAAGTAAGTGGACCCAGCAGACACAGCCATCTGTTCCCACCCCTATGAACTCTATCAGACCCTCCAACCATGATGAACTTCAAAACACGAATAAAAATTTTTTTTAAATCTTGTTAGTGATCTGGTCATAGCAATTAAAATTGAAAGTAACGTTCATTGACAACCAAAGATTAAAATTATTTGTGGCATATGGCATCTGTTTATTGACTCTAAAATGAGGTGAAACCTAAATAAAATGGAATTATGATCAAGATCAGAGAGATGCAAGATTAATTCTAAATAGTCTTGAACACGCCATCTCTCTCCATTTGCCCCTAGTTTCAAGTTGCCTGACTTTAGAAAAGGAGATGCTTTACTTCTACCTGTGAGGACATAGCCTCCTTGACACACCAGGACTATATAAGGCAGCTCAGCCTGGAAAAGGAGATCAGGGGATGGGAGAAGCTGAGGGGAGACACCGCCCTGAATGCTGCCCAATCCATCCAACACGGGACACACTGTTCCAGAAACAGGATGACAATTAATAGATAAAATCTGCTCTCACATCACTGCCAAGCCTGTTTCAGGGTCTCAGCTGCTGGTACGCCTCCTTGGGGGAAGAACAATAATGCCCCATTCCTCCTTTCAGTCTACATCCTGATGTTTTCTTGTGGAGAACAAGGAAAAGGTTGCAGAAAAAAAATATGTATGTATGTATGTATGTATGTATGTATGTATGTATGTGTGTATGTATTATGTATATGTAGCATCAGTGCTCACAGCCAAGGGCCCAAGGATTACCCAAAACAGAAGGCTTTGACTCACTCAGCAGCCATCCCATCTAAACCTGGGGAGCTCTGCTTGACAAATGGTAAGTACTGGCAGAAAAAGTGTCTTCAATCAAAGTGCCTAAAAGTAGTCTGGACTTGTTTGAGCCATTAAAAACCTATTTCCTCTTTGGAAATTACCAGCATATGTATTCCTCTTGGTCAAAATATTTCAAATTACTCACAAACACTGGATATATAATTCAAAGGTAGAACAATTACCTACCATTCGTGAGGCCCCTAAGTTCAATCCTGACTGCCACAAAACAGGAAAAGAGGAAGGAAGATGAGGAAGAGGGAAGGATAGAAGGAACAAGAGGAGAGGAGGGAGGAAAGGGTGTAGGAAATGGGAAAGAGAAGGATGAAGAGAGGAAGGCAGAGAAATAGAAGAAAACTTGGCTTGCCTTCATCCATGACTTAATCAAATTCATCAAAAGCAAAGAGTCCAGAAGCAGAAGACTCCAGGAAGACCAGACTATCTCGCCCCACATTTCAACCCATTAGTCACCTCTGGGTAGCTCTGTATGCTAGTGCTCCTAATTTTTAAAGGAGAATCTTGAGAATATAATTAAATATAGCTCTTTTCATGTACACTCAGCCCTTTACCATGTACAGTCACTCAATCTTCTTTTTGCATATGAATCCATGGAAAGCTGTTCCTGTAAATGCCACTGCCATGTTCTCTGCTTTAATCCCTGAGCCCCAAGGTCAGGACTCCTGCCACAGAAACTAGCTTCTAGTATTAAAGCCTTAGGAGTTCCTCTTTCTGAATTTCATAATGTCACCAGCAAACATCAGCATGAATGTTGCTTAGGTAACCTTTAATTCTACCTCCCTACTCACCTCTGCCAACATCAGCCACGCATGACAGCTCCGGCCGGGAAGACATCTTGAAAATCAGGTTTCAATTCTGTAATCGGTAGTACCCAGTTTCTTTCAAATTATTTGGCCACATCCATCTCTGAGGCAATTCAGGTGGATGCTAAGTTACCATGTTAACCCCTTTCGTGCCAGATGTCTCACAGGAGCTTTGGCAGAACACCACATCCCAGACTCCCCTTCTACCATACTGGGGTCCCGCACTCTGTACATGGAAGCTGGCCAGCAGATTTAGAAACTGTGTTGCTCTTGGCATCCATTCCGGGACTCTATGCAGAGCTACGTGCTGAGCTACAGCAGCAGCACAGGCAGCTTTTCAATACCAGAGTTCACCACCCTCCAGCTCACTGTGCTAAGTCACAACGTGATTCCAAAGACAGGTACAGACGAGAAAAAAAAGTCACTAATGAAAAGAAACTGCCATTTGCCTCATACCCAACTTCCTGCTCAAACTGTCCTCATCACACAAGTCCATTTAAGCAACCAGCAGTTTTCAGCATCCCTTTTTGGTTCCCATAGATGCCAACACAGTCTTCAGTTCATAATTACCCAGAACAGGGTACAAAGAGGGGTCTCCACCGGGACTACTGAGATCCAATGACCAGAGACAATCTCAGAGAATACATGGAAGCGTATACAGCACCTTCTGATGAAAAGGAGCTATGCTTTCCAAGACAGAACTTGGTGCCATCTTACCCTTCATTCCAAATTTGGACCGGCGACCATACTTGTTGATCATGATAAAGAGAACCACCAGAAGGACACAGGCAAAGGCAGCAAGTCCAACTGCTATGGATACCTATTAGGAGTCAAACAGAAGTGGTCAGGAGCACTGACAGGAAGCCTCAGAGCCTCAAAAGTAATGTGTGAGCCCAATGAGAACCAGCCAGTTTTAGCAGAAAATCACTGCTACCTAGGTGTATGCAGCCTGTAAGCTACATGCCATGTGCACCAAAGGATACCTGTGCATATAAAAATGCCACGACACAATGTCAAAACATTGGGCAACCCCAGAGGAAAGTCTTTAGAAGTGGCTTATGAGCCCCTAAGAGAATTTTAAATTTTTTATTCAAAAAATATAAATTAATAAGTTTGGTTGCAGGAGATTCCCTGATTCAATACTCTTAGCCCCTCTTATCTGGAGGCCATTCTAGGATTGTAATAGCAATCTGAGAGAAACTTCTGCCCAGGATTTTAATCAGCAAGTAAATTCGGTATCTTTCCACTGAAATCTTTACATAGTATTTCTACTCAGAGAGGTCTAGGAGTTCTGGACGCAAAAGACTCCTCCTTTCTTCTCCCCAGGAAGGCCTCAGACTCTGAGACAGGCGTGGGAAACCTAGCCACAGAGATTCTCTGAGTAATTTAAGGTTTTGTAGAAGGTTTGCCCAGTTAGTAGGCTTTGCAAGCCCACTGGGCCTGGCTCACAACAGACTGGGAATCTCAAACTGTTCTCTTCCTAGCCCTGGGGCTTGGGGCTGGTCCTCAAAGGCCTCTTCAAACAATGAGGCACTCCCATCAAACAAGGACAGTTCAAACCACCTCAAAGGAAATTATTCCTCACTGCGCATTTTTTTTCTACCATTGATTGTTACTGAGGCTCCAAGTAAGAGACTTTGTAGGAAAGTTAGCACCTCGAATGAAGCCTGAAAAGGACTCTGCCCTTCAGTGAGGAAAAAACTCACCCCAAAAGTGTCTTCCTCTGGTTTGTGGGTCACAGTGATAGGAGGTGTAGGGCTCGTGTCAGACTCTGAAAAGAAACGCAAAGGAGAGGATGGTGGTTAACTTACCAGCCAGAAGCCCCTGCTAATACCTGCCCTGTCCTTGGGAAGCAGGTCCCTAAAGGCACCCTCCTAACTGAGCAGATACCCCCAGGGACTGAGTGAGTCCCAGAATATCTACCTGCCTCATGCAGTGCTACCACAAAATCTCAAAAAAATGCAGACCTCCTAACCCCAGCCTAGAGAACACACCACTCTGAAGTACTCTACAGGAATGATGAAAGCCTGGGGATTAGATTTTACCAGTGGCAGCAGCCATCACTGGCATTGTTATCCCTTGTTTAGGGCACCTCTTCCATTCTCCCTTTCTGTCTCAATCCTTCCCTGTTTCACTCTAACTCCTCAGTAAAAGTAGGGCTCACATCTTAATGAACAGCCTTCCAGCCATTCCCCTAAGACTGATTTCAGAACCCGATGGCAGTTGGAAATTAACAATATTCAATCGACCAGAAAACTCCACTGATGGTCATCCTCTATCTACCATCATTTCCTTGCAAGAAATGGTCCCAGCTCTGAATTCTCTTAAGGAATACCTGTGGGATTATAAGTTGTTTTTCATGACCAAGAACAAGTGAATGAGTCACAGTTGGCATTTAGACTTGTGCCAAATGGCCAGGGTGTTCCTAAATAAGATTGTTCAAACATTTCTGACCAATTTCAGGCCCAATTGGGAAGAAATGGCAATGGTTGCTGCTGCTCCTATCATGGGGGAGTAATGAAAAAGAAAGTCAAACCCCAACTCATTCAAATGTCCAGAGCTACCCTCAACTCCATTATAAACTGGGCTTCAGTGATGCCACTCAAGGACATGATATCCCCTGAGAAACCACAGTTCTACCCAAGATAGGTTCTAGCCAAATGCTTGATCTCCTAAGGCAGGTGAGAAACACAGGCAAGTATACAGGCTCTACATTTTCTCTGAGATGATCAATGGAAGTCTATCTAAGCACGTGAAACCTATTGTTCACCTCCTGCAGCCCCTTTTCAGCCAGGTAGAGAGATTGGCTATATGGTCACGCCTTAGAAAATGCCCTGAGTGAGGAAAAGTGTGGATATAGCTCAGTGGCAGAATGCTGCCTAATCCTTTATTTAATCCCAGAACAGAACGAGGGAGGGAGTTGGTAATCCTGTAGAAGAAACTGTGGTCCAGGGCAACTACCCAGGAAAAGTGGGTCTGGGACTTCTTCCTTTTCATAATACGCCCTCAGCTGCCAAGGGGCTGGGAAGAGCAACTAGGCAAGAGGGCAGTCTGAATTTAACAGTCCCCAAACTATCAGGACAAAAGAGTTTCAAACCCAAAGTCAAGCAGACTTACCAAAGTCAAAGAAATCTGTGCTTTCTGGGGGGGAAAAAAAGAACAAAGAGGTAATTAACAAATATAATAACAACAAAAATATCATTATATATTTGACATATATATATGACAGCAACCTACTAGCAGTGACCTCTCCCACTTCCCACAATTCTCCATTCCAACAGCAAGGAGCACACAGACCCTTCCTAAGTTACCCTCTCCAACCACTGCACAACCTCTTCAGGGAATAGTCCTCCAAATGGAAACTGTACAGACGCATTTCCTTGTCTCAAAGAAGGAAGACCACCTGTGAGCTAACAACCAAGCCAGTTTCATTGTGAGGCAAAGAACTAAGGCCCTGGCCACATCCCTGTCCACAGCTGTCCCTCTTTCGGTACTAGAACACTGGGGATGGCACTTCAAAGCAGCTGCAGCATTAGCACTAAATGAACTTCCTTCCCTCAATATGTGTAGGCAACGCTAATAGTCACTATCTTAGTTTGGGAGCCCCCACTCTGCCAGAATCTAATCATCCATGTGGACACGTGTTATATGAACTTTGACTTATAGAAATGGCAGCCCCAGTAATGAAAGCTAATCCTGAACTGGGCATTAAGGGGCTCTGATCAGTGCTTCAGGTGTTATTGTCATTCAAGCCTTATAAAATCCTAGAGAATGAACAGCGAGTTGTAGAGATTAACTAATTGAATACCATTCATCTAGAAGGAGATTGGAGTTGATTCTAATCTAAGACTGGGATCTTAAGCACTCTACCAGCACTGTTCCTACTTGAGCACAAAAGGGAGGTGACTGGCACCATCCTCCACTGAGAGGAATGAGAATTTCTTACAGGAATGGACTAATTCGTATCTGGGATGGAAAAATGAAAGATGTTCTTGGGGCAGCTTGTGGCACCTGGAAACAAGAAAGCGCTTGAAGATATATGGTCCTGGAAAGAGAAAGCAGGCAGTGATGCACGGGTGAAATGTTTGATAATCTGAGCAACAAATTAGAGTCGTGATGTGTTATAGACTGCACCATGTTACCTCACAATCCACATGACTAAATTGTAACCCAGTACTTGAGAATGTCACTGTATCTGGAGATAAGGTGCATAAATGAAAAGGAGGCCATTTGGGGTCCAAATAAGAAGAGATTAGAACACAGATGTGCTTAGAGGGAACGCTAAGTAAAGATGCAGAAAAGACACACCTACAAGCCAAGGAGAGGGCCCTTGGAAGAAAGCAAGCCTGACAACAGTTGGTCTCATAGTCTCAAGCTCCAGAACTGTGATAAAATGGACTTTCACTATTTAAGAAACCCAGTCTATAACACTTTGCTATGACAAACCTAGACAACAAATACAGGAATGGCAAAAACACCCACAAATCTGTTATATATACCAGTGTATAACTGAGCATGTGAGTGGGCGAATCTCTTCTTCACAGTAGAGTTCCAACTAATAAATGGAAGGATGGAAGCAGAAATCACCATCATTCGGTGAATACCAATAAATGCTCAGGCAAGAATCATCAATGAATGTTAACATTGCTATATGAAGAGATGATGAGAAATGAGCTATTTGTGTCTTTTCAAATCCTTATTCTGAATAACTAAGGGTGAAATAAGTCACTGTGCAGTGGAGAACTTCAGCAAACAGCATCTTGACCAAGTGATTAAGTTATTAAGTTGACCTCCCCACTGATAAGCCATGGCAACATCCTACATTCTTCAACAGGATGGACCAAAAAGAGTGGAGAAATATTTCCATGATGCTCTTATGAGAGAGAGCGGGGTGGGGGGGAGAAAAACGAGGAAAGGAAAATACAAAAGTGGAATTTAATCATGAGAAATAAATAAGATGAAGTCTGTAGTAACTAGAGACTTTTCTGCAGAGGAAGGACCTATCACAGAATCGAAGGAACTGAGGTTATGGCGTGGCAACTAAATTTGATGGGTGTGATCCCACAAAACACTGATGGGGCCACTGACCACATGTCAACAGTCTATAAATTAGGTAATGCTGTTAAGCCAAGGTCCATGTCCTGGTTCTGAGTCCCGGATTGTGGCTGAATGACAGTGACATCTGTGGAGGCCTAGTGAAGGGAAGAAGGTTCTTTGTAGTGTTTTGTAACTCTTGCCCTTTTTAGAGCCCAACTTATTTTAAAGTGAAGTAAAATCACATCAGGACTAGTAGTCCTTATCCCAGAGTTTCTGATTCATAAGGTCTGCCTGCATCTTGAGGGATTATATGTGTTGCTAAAAATGGAATCCAGAGCCTCACACATGCTGGGCAAGCCCTCTACCACCAAACCGCGCCACCAGTCCCTGGTGCTATCTAAGCAAATCCTCTACCAGTGAGTCACACCTCCAGCTCCACACCGATGCATTCTGAACAAGACCTCTTCCACTGAGCCATGTCCCTAGACCTGAGAATGTGCCCAAATGCTCAGGTGATAATGAAGTTGCTAATCCCTCTGGAAGTGACAGCACCACAACCACAAACTCTGTCACAAATAGAAGAACAAATCATTCACTGGCTGGCTCATCAGCTGCCTTGCTCATTCATTCACTGTGGTCCTCCTCTTACAAGACTCTTGGTCAAGTCTTTTTAGGAACTGTAGCCATATGATCCAGTAGGCTTTTGTTTTTCACTATTTGCAGAGAGCAGGGTTGCTTCTGTGGAGTCCATCTGGAAAGGCTCACTTTCAGTTACTGTTGTCTGTCTGGATGTTTTGTTTCCTGTTCTGTACAATTGTGGGGAAGGCCTAGCTTAGGGGATAATAGAGGAAACGGGATTTTTGCATAGGGTTTAGAGCATGAAAAGAGAGAGGAGCCAGATTAATCAGCAGTATCCATTTACTTTATATTTCTCAGCAGGCTCCCATTTATCAGAGAATATTTTTCCAGCAGCTGAATATTTTGGCCGAGTGTTTGAATCCTGTAATCTCAAAGTCAGCCTACGATTTTGAGCATAAATCACCAGGTCCTTTTGCTGGCGCCAGGCAGCATGCACACATGCAGAAGCACGTGTGTTTTGAAACAGGGAGATATGTTGGCTGCTCCCTCACCTTAGCAGGAATTCATACATTTATACAAGAAAAAAAGATCTAGGAATTGTCCTTCTTCTGACCACTACCACAGGCTGAGACAAGGACAGGACCAGCAGGATCAGGGTGGATACATATGATTCCTGCAGCCCCAGACAATAACTCTCCAATAAGCACCTTACTGTGTGTGTGTGTGTGTGTGTGTGTGTGTGTTTGTGTGTGTAGGGGGAGAGAGAGAGAATATAAATGTGCATGTATATATGATCTGTCTGTGTGCACAGCCATATGGTGTGGTGTGGTGTGTGTGTGTGTGAGAGTGTGTGTGTGTGTGTGTGTGTATATGTAAGAGAGTAAATGAATGTGCATGCATATATGATCTGTGCAAACAGACGTAGTGTGTGTTTGTGTGTGTGTATGTTTGTAAGAGAGACAATGCATTTACATGTATATATGATCTGTCTGTGTGCACAGCCATATGGTGTGTGTGTATGTATGTATATATGTATGTATGTATGTATGTATGTAAGAGAGAAAATGAACGTGCATGTATATATGATCTGTGTGCACAGCTGTGTGTGTGCATGTGGAAGCTAGATGTCTCACTGAACAGGAAGCTCGTCATTTCAGCTAGGCAGACTACTCAGCAAGCTCTCAGGACCAGCCTGTCTTGCCCCTGCCTCCCTGGTGCTGGGGTTACAGTTGTGTACATCATGCCTGGTTTTTAAAAATGAGTTCTGGGGATTCAAGCACAGGTTCTCACACTTGTAGAGCATGGGCTTTTGCCTTTAGAGTAATTTCTTCAGTCCCTCATCAAAACTCTTTCTTAAACGAGATTTGTTTTTGTTATTGTTTATGAGTATATAGGTGGTCATGGAGACCATAAAAGGCCATCAGGTGCCACCCAAGTGGCTTTTAAACATGGGGTGTGAGTGCTGGAGACTGATGCTGAGAGAGTGACAAGAGCTCTTAATGACCAAGCCATCTCTCCAGACACCTCCAGCATAACTTTTGAGGGAGAAGCAAGTTAAGTAGTTTGTCTAAGGTCACAACTTACAAGTAATTGTACCAACACTTGAACTCTGGTTTTGCTGGTCCACAGTCACTACTCTAACCTACCCTGGGGCTACCTGATAAAATTTTCTACCTGGACTGAGAATGACTACTGTCCTGGAAATCCTAAATTCTCCTCATCTCTGCACCCCAGAAACCATAACAAGAGCCAACAGCAATTAAGTGTTTTCTTTGTGCCAGTACACTGCTGAACGAACTTCATTCGCTCTTCAGTGCAACCTAGGCAGGAGCTACTGTGGTTATTCCCATTCACAGGCCAAGGACAGAGTCATGGAGCAGTCTCCACCTTTCACGGAGGCCGGAGAGCTGTCCACGTGCTGAGCCCCAGTCTAGCATCCTGGGCAACCTGTCTGAAAGAATCAAAGAGGATGGGGCTTGTACCTAGCCTGCCCAGCCTCAGAGATCTGGCTCCTAACCAGACCACTTGGCTGCTTGGGAATGGGAGACAAACACATGATGAGTAAGATGCCTTCACGCTCTCAGGCCAAGAAAGAAGAGTGGGATCCGCACACTGCCTTGGCCGCCAGCACCCAGCCAGCACAAGCTTGGGCCGAGAGGGTTGTAGGTTATCCCTGCCTGCCCCTCCAGATAACTTACTCTTCTGAACACTTAGATATCTTGTCGCTTGACATGGCCGGCCCATCTTTTCTGCCACTGCGCTTTCATCATCCATCAATTCCTATAGTACAAAGGTTCATAAAACAGGCAAACTTCTCCACAGAGGGGTTCATCCTGAATTATGGGTAAGTCTGAGGAAGGATCCCAGGTGTGCCGCTTTCTTTTTTCAGCTTTGCTGGGGTTCCATCCTCACTCCTTCCCTCCTCCTGGGGCTGACTTGCCAACAAGGGCTGAGTAGCTGATTGCCAAAGGCAACCAACTATGGTGAATATACCTGTCGACATGGCTGGAAGATACTGAGGTACTATTTTCTCCTGGGAGAAGAGAGGGTAAAAGGAAGACCACACCCATCATATCAACCTGTTGCCCCTGATAACCTGTAGCTTTCAGAACACTCTCTGGAGGTAGGAGCTCAAAGTGGCTCACCACACTTTTTTAATATTCTAGAGCTCTCTCCATGTCTCAAGAGCTTCCCATGGAAACAGAAATGCAGCTTCACTCTACCCATCATGGAGTAGGGATGGAGATGGGTTATAGGGGTCATACTAGCTATTTATGTCAACAACTTTATGGGCCATGAGAGCAAATTATCTCCATAGTGAAAATCCACGGATGCCATATTGCAGGCCAGGACTCTTCTTCGAACCAAAAGAGAGCCCTCTGTGGTCTCTGATGGGAAATGTCCTGACGATCCTTTGTGAGCACACTTGGGTGGTGTTGGGAAGGTCAGGGCCTATAGACTGCTAGGGTCTCAACAATCAGCACATTATCAACCTTTTCTGAGAAATGGCTCCATCATTCCCTGGACTTCAGTGACAGGCATTCAGAACCACATGCAGCCTCATGTCTCCAGTGTCACTTGTAGGGCCCCAGTTCTCCTTCCCTTACACTGAGACAAATAAGCTTCCCAGAGCCACCACCCTGTGGTTGTCTGTAACTATAAATCCACATTCCTCCCAACAGATGTTGCATGGTGATAGCTTTTGGTGTGTCCCCATTTTGGATGTGTGTGGTATCAGTCCTTACAGTTCCCTTTGTCCCTTTTGGACCTCTCACTTCTGAGGATGAAGGACCAGGTAGTCACCTAGTCTGTTCCCAGCACAAATTGCAGAAGTTACCAAAGAAACTTAGCCACGTGGGTATCCGCTGCATAACCCACCAGGCAATGTTGCAACCAGGCCCTTATTTTAAACCCTTTTGGACTTTTCTTCTTCTCCAACTTCAGGAAGGTGTTTGGACAGACTGAAAAAGGCAGAATCACCTCCCCAAGTTCAGAGTTTCTCCATTCATGCAACCATCAGCTCTAGTCGGTGTGACATTTGCACCACCCGTATCCAGTAGCATCAGCCACTTCCGCTCTAAGTTACCATGGAACAAAAGCAGCCCTAGAGGCCAGCTCCAAGGCAAGCTTTGCTGCTGACTAGCTGGTTAAAGCCTGAGACAGCAATCTGTTAAATGTGAGGTCAACTTGAGCCAACTCTGAAGTTCACTGCAATGGAGAATCACTGAGCCTACATCTTAACTCATTCAAAAACATAAAACTCTTAGTGTGCACACACTTCTGCCTATTTCACAGCTGAGGACATTGAGGCTTCAGAAAAGTATACTGTCAAGATCAACATAGCATGCTCAGGTTAGTAAAACACTGGGTCAAAATTCATTGTTGCATCATCATCTCTAAAGTCCCTGGTTTATCTACTGTAAAACAGCAGGTTTGGGGGGTTATCCTGGAGGTAGTTGTGGTAGCCATGGAAAATGGAGGTTATCCTAGTTAGTACAAGGTATAGATGGTGGCTGCCCCATCCCAGTGTGAGTTCAATTATTAGGTCATCAGTGCTGCCTATTCTTTCAAACTACACCCCCTCCCCAGCTCCCAGAAGAAATGTGTACATGCCTCACCTGGAAAGGGCTCCTTAAGGAAGTGGCCATTGATGGTCTGGTTGGCTGTGCCCAGGGCATTCTTAGCGATGAGGGTGTAGTTGCCATTGTTGTAGTGGGTGGGCTTGTTGAAGAGCAGGCAGCCCTCAGAGACCTCACCCTCCTGGTAGTAGTCCATGTGAATGATCTTGGACTCCCTCAGTGGCTGCCCATTGTACAGCCAGTGCAGCGTGGGTGTCGGGTTGCCACGCACCACAAACTCAATGCAATGCTCCAGGCGTACCTCGGGCTCCACCAGGCTCACCACACGTGGAGGGTCTGTGGGGAAAAGCAAGCTGATCTCGAGGGCACAGAGTCTCCTGTGAACCGAAGAAGCCTTCCAGGAAGCAGGATGGGGATCCCACTTCTCATCCAGCTCTGAAAAGGCTGGGTGAAGCCGAGTTCCCACCACCAGCCAAGAGAGGAGAAGAGATATGTGTCTTTATCTAGGCTCCCTGCATCTATCTTAGCTGGAGCTCCCCTCTGGAGACTTTTCAGGGATGCCAAGGTAGAACTGAATTGCAGAGGTATAGCATCCACTGAGGAACAAGGAAATTCTTTCCTGGGTTTATCGTCCCAGAACTTATTCTTCAGTGTTGCCTTATGACAGCCTTTCTGCCCTTGTTAAAAGACTAGGGTTCTAGATCAGCCCTACCGATGGACCTGCCCCATCCCCAGCCTCCTCCGGGTACCTCTCTGTCGTCCATGATGGCATGCACTTACAGTAGACAGTGAGAGCAACACTGGCGTTGCTCATGCCCACCACGTTCTCTGCAATGCACGTCAGGGTGAAGCCATTGTCCTCGCTTGTCACATTCACCAGGGTCAAGTTGATGGCATGTACATTGGTCCAGTTCAGATTGGTCTGAAAACCCCAACCAGAAGATAATAACCAAACCATTTATACAAAGATGGCTTCCTTTTCTTGCCCCTAATGCCTCCATAAATCAAGTAAAAAGTGAATGAAGTCTAGCTAGTGAAGACACACAGACAATGTTCCAGATTCTTTGTAATTCAATTGATCCTCATGTTAATACTGGGTGGTAAATGGGAAACTTGAGTACAGGAAGTTGAGTAGCACAGCAAAGATCGAAATGACAAAACATCATGACACCTAGATAGAATCTGAGGTTGGGTTTCTTCCCAGAAGAACAGGATCACAATTTCTCCCTCATCTTTATAACTAAGGACTACTCGGTTCTTAACTCTTGCGGTTCCTGGTCATAGGATGCCTACCTGGTGGGTGTTGATGGACTGCAGCCCAGTGACTATCCAGTCCACATCAGGCAAGGGGGAGCCAGAGCCATTGCAGGTGATTACAGCATTGTCTCCTTCTCGGACGGTCAGGTTGACGTGGCTCACACTGATCTCAGGGAGATCTGGGAAGATGGAGAGGAGAGGAGGTAAAAAGTCAGAAAAGAGTAAGCAGAGGAGCTCTGCCTCCAGGCCTTCTTGCCTTGCCCCGTGACAACTGTAGCGTAACTTGCTTGAGCTCATGTGATAGCAACCTCGTGATGGATAATATCAATTTGACAAGCTCTAGAATCGCCTAGAGACACCTCTGAGCATGCCTGAGGGAATATCTAGGTTAGTTTAACTGAGGTGGGAAGACACCATGTTATGGGCTGGGTCCTGAACTGAATAAAACAGGAAAAGTGAGCTCAACACCAGCTTTCCTCTCTCTCTCTGCTTCCCTACGGATACAAAGTGGCCAACTGCCTCAAATTCCCCCCATGCAGCCGGACTTCCTTGCCATGGTGTGCTGTACCCTCAAACTGTGAATCATAATCTTTAAGTTGCTTTTGACAAATCAATGTGAAAAGTAATGAGCATAGACCCCCGCTGGTTCACAGCCCCTCCTCTGTAGACCTCAGAGTGAAGCACATATAATGGGATACTTCTACACAGTGGGCAGAAAGGAATGAGTGATACACCTATTCATGGAATGCCATTGTAGTAACTGAGCCTAGAGCTTCAGCCTGCTTTGGGCAATGAGTCTCACAAACTGGTGTGTGTAAGGATCCCATGGGAACTGGGGATTCCAACCTCTCGTGTCTGGTTGGGCATGGGAGCTCAGTCTCTAGAAAACAACTGGGAAGCTCCTGATGCAGGAATCACAGAGACTGCACGTTAAGACATGCTCCTTCATGTTTGATTGATAGGTGACTGGCAGAGAAAGGGAATCTGATCTACTGAGAATGGCACATGACTCCTTTCTGCATACATTCTTCTCCAAAACTAGCCTTCCTGCAGCTGGCTCAGGACAGGAATGACCAAAAAGGGAAAAAGCCAGTCCCGTCTGTACCCACTGCAGATGCCAAGACTGGAGATGGCTGGAAAGGAAACCCTGGCGGGCCAGCCTGAAGCCCAGTCCCTCCTCTGGGGCATGTGGGATGCTGGCCAGACGAGGCAGTACTGCTGCTCACTCACCACACTGACTGATGTTCATGCGGAAGAGGGGGAGTTGGGAGCCATCAGCACTGATGCAGTAAAGACTCTGGCTGTCCAGCCGGGCCTCCCCCTGCTCCTGCCACAGCTGCATCCAGCGGATGTCACAGCTGCAGTTGAAGAAGTTCTGCTCCAGTCTCCTGTGGGCAAGAAGAGAGGGGAAGGAATCCCTGAACGGTGGATGACCCAGCTCCCTCCCAGGGCGAGGCCAATGGGCCCCTACTACTCCTCCATGAAATAAGCCAGACTCAGACAGATAATCGCTATGTTTCCTCTCATTCACAAAACCATGAGAGGAGAAAGAGGCAGACAGACATGAAAGTAGAAGGAAATCTGGGGGAAGAAAGGGAGGGAAGAAAGGAAGGATGGAGGAGAGCAAGAAACTAGCTGAAGGAACAAGGATAAAGAGAAGGGCATTTGGGAGTGAGTGTTGTCAAACACATGGTACACTTGAAATAAATTATCTTAGTGGAACCCATCACTATGTACAATGAATCTACTCCAATAAAAATTTAAAAATAATAAAGGAAGGGGGCTGTGGAGATAGCTTAGCTGATAAAGTGCTTGACATTCAAACATGAGGGTGGGAGTTTGGATCCCAGCACCTATAAAAATGCTGTAATGCCAAGTGAGCATGGTGGCCAACCTGTAATCCCAGCACTCAGGAGGTAGAGACACGAGATTCCTAGAACAAACTCACTAGTCAGAATAGCCGTCATCGGTGAGCTCCAGAGTCCACCAAGGAAAACAGGCAACAGCAGCCTTGGTACTCACATGAAGGTGCACACATCCTCACATATGCTTATGCCCACATACATAAACATACTCATGCCCCACACACACACATGTGCATGCAAATAAAATAAAAAGAATAGTAAAGGAAAGAGGAGGCTAAGTGAGGTCACAAAAGAAGTAACAGAAATAACAAATAATAAACAAATAGCATTAAGTCCATGCAGTTAGTTTCAAAAGTAATAATTTCACTGAAAATGCAAATTTTACCCTCACTTAAATCACTGGGAAAAGAGGCCCTTTTATATGTGTCAAGTTGAGATGCATATTCTTAACACCTGCCCACATCCAGTCACACTGATCTTCATATGCGTAAGCTCACTAGTGTGGCTGGTTTGGACCTGATTCAGGACTTCTACCTGCTTGCCAAATTCTCTCCCAACATATCTGCAAGACTGGCTCCCCTCACTTCATTAAGAAACTGTAGGGCATTCTCTGACCACCATCTATATCAAAGCTGCTACAACCCTGTCCTAATACTACCTAGCCCCTCACCAGATGCATTTACCTGTCTAGAATTTATTACTATTTCATAACACTTTAAATATTCATATTAGTTTGTGTCTTTGTCTTCCCAGATAAAAAGTTAAGCTCCATGGAGGCCAGAGATGTAACCGGTTTTGTGCAAAGCTGCAATCACAGTACCTAAGATTGATTCCCAAACACATTTTCCTGGGGAATAGGTAGTTAGCTATTTCCAAGGCATATTCCAAGGCCATCTTGGGACCAGCTTTATTCCTTCATGAATTCAGTGGTTCCTTAATGAGCACCTGCTCAGTATCTGGCTGTGGATGAATGCTGTTAATAGAGAGATGAATGAGGCAGTCCTTGTCCTCTGGGAGCATTTACCCCAGTGAAGAAGAATGGCTGATGGGGAAGAGTCAGGTCCAAAGCCCTTGTTTTCTGCAGATTCTCCTTGTGCCTTAGAACAAGTCACATCCCTCCTCCATTGGTTATTAGGAGAGTGATGAACAGTGCTAATCAATCCCCCAAACTCTCAAAGAGCACTGGGTGAATCTGAATGCCCGGGCCATTAGGGGAACATGATTCTCTCTCTGGTCTATTGAAGGGATTGATCCGTTGGCACCTGGAGGAAAGGCACTTGGGTCATTGAATATTTTTTAAGCACTGGGTATTTTTGACAACTGACAAATTCTAAAATAGTTAGGCATGCATCAGCATTTGTCAGATTGCAGGAAAGGGGGTGGGTGAAGAAAGAGGAACTCTGCTCCTGATGACTAGGACAGTACAGGTAGTACGTACAAACAGCCACACAGCTTATAAGGACAGCACAGGTAGTATGTACAAACAGGCACACAGCTTATAAGGACAACACAGGTAGTATGTACAAACAACCACACAGCTTATCATCCTCTTGGCCTGGGAGCATCCATGACTTCTCATCCTTCAGGATCTTTTGGAAAGAAGGCAAGAGAAGGGACCCAACCTTTACTGGGCACCTGCTCCTCACAGAAATATTGTCCCCACAGAAACAAGAAAGTCCATCTAGTAATGTCTGAAGGGTTTCATTGTTAATCTCTTTTGTCAGCTTGATGACCGGATTTATAAACAATATGGAGACACACCTCTGGGAGTATAAGGGCACAGACGAACAGGGGAGCTCTGCCTTGAATGTGGGTGGATTGAGAGAACCTGAACTGAGTTAAAAGAACACAAGTTTAGCATCACCACTTGTCCCAGTTTCCTAACTGTGGGCACAGTGTGACGGGCTGCCCCCTGCTCCCATCACCATAACTCCCCCACGTGATGGAATGTACCCTCAAACCACCATGAGCCCATATAAACTCCTCCTTAAGTTGCTTTTGTCCATTATTTGATCACAGCAATGAGAAAAATAACTAAGACAAGGAGTTAGGACACATGCGCCATGCTCATCACACAAACCTGTCTTTATACTTCCCACTGCCTCTTCCCTGGGCAAATGCTGTAGAGCCTGGGGGCAGGGGAGGCACCCACAGTGCTCCCTTGACTCCTGGGGCTCTCTCCAAGAAGACTAAGTGGTAGAGGGAAGGAGTCACAGAGAGCAGAGGGCAGCAAGGTAGAGGTCATGTCCAGGAGCACAGGGAGTGGGAATACGTTGGGGAGTTTAGAGTTTGTGCACGGAAGGGTGAGGAAAGCACTGGCCACCAGTTGTGATCTTTTATAAGCATGAGGTCACCGTGTACAGTTGTGTGCTGTGTGTATTTCTCAAAGAATCCAGCCAATGCAATGCTAGCATTCAAACCAAGTGCCCCGGAAAGGAGACACCACTCCTGGGAGAACATCGTTTCTAACTCGAGAATACAATATGGGCATCAGCTGGGCTGGCTGGTAGGACCTAGACCTACGTTCTTGAACTTTTGTTCTCCTGACTCCAGTTCATACTTAAACTTTTCCTGGGCGTCCTCAATAGTGTTTGTACATGTGGGCTTTATCTCTCATTATTTACTGTATTAGAAATTGAAATAGCCATTTTGACAGGTGAGATGAAATCTCAAAGTTGTTTTAATTTTCATTTCCCCAATTGCTAAGGATGAAAAACACCTTTTGAGATATTTCTTAATCATTATTTTTCTTATGTTGAAAACTTTCTGTTCATATCCACAACCCATTTTTAATTGGGTTATTTATCTTCTTGACTCTGTTGTTTTTAAATCGTGTTCTTTGTTTATAGCAGACACTAATCCTCTGCCTGATGCATAGCTGGCAAAGATTATCTCCCATTCTATGGGTTTCTTCATTACTTGATTGATTTTTTCCTTGTCTACACAAAAGGTTTTAGTTGTTGTTTTTATGAGATTCAATTAATTGTTGGCCTTAATTCCCAGACAAACTAATGGCATCCTACTCTGGGGGCAGGGGAAATGTTCTACACCTAGTCCTGTAGCATACTGCCTAATATTTTTCTAGCAGCTTTAAAAATTCAGGTTCCAAGTCTCACATCTCTATGCTCTTGGAGATGATATTTCTGCAAGGTGGTAGATATGGGAATTAATTCATTCCTCTGCATGTGGACTGGATATTTTCCCAGTATTATTTGTTGAAAATGCTATCTTTTCTCCAATGTATGTTTTTGGGCTCTTTATCAAATATCAGATGGATATAGTTATGAGAATTCATATTTGACTCATCTATTTTGTTCCATTAGTCTACATGTCTGTTTTAATTCTAGTACCATCTTGCTTTTATTACTATAATTCAATAATACACCTTGTAATTTGCAATAGCCATCCCTTCAGTATTATTCTCTTTGCTCAGAATGACGTTGGCTATCCAGGATCCTTTCTGAGTCCATGTAAATTTTAGAATTTTTCCTAGTCTTGTGAGGAGTATGGATATTTGACCTGGGATTACATAGAAACTGTACACTGCTTTTGGTAGGATGGACATTTTCACAATAATAATTTTACTGAGCCATGATCACAGGGTGTCTTAGCATTTTCTAGCATCCTTCTCATCTCTTTGGAAATTGGAAGATTTTGTTGAAGGGTTCTTTCACTGAACTCATTGGTTAGGTTAAGTTCAAGGCATTTTATTGTCTGAGAACATTGTAAGTTTGAATATGTTATGATATCTTTCTCATCCTGTTTTTTTGCTGGTAGATTGAAAGGCTACTGATTTTTATAAGCTGATTTTGCACTGTGTTGAAATTAATTTTGCTTCTAAAAGTTTTTTGATGGAATTTTGGGGACCTCTTATATATAATATCATCTACAAATAGGAAAATTTCTCTTTTCCTGTTTGTATCCCTTTAATTTCTTCCTCTAGTCTTATTACTCCAGATAGTACTTTGACTATTATATTGGAAGGGAGTGAGAATAGTGGACAGCCCTCTTATTCTGGACTTACATGGGACTGTTTCATTTTTTTTTCACTTAGGATAATGCTACTGTGTGTTGTCATATATACCCTTTATTGTGTTGAGGTACGCTCTCTCCAGTTCTACTCTCTTTAGAACTTTTGTCATGAAAGCGTGTTAAATTTTGTCAGAGGCTTTTTCTGCATCTATTGATATGACTATGTAATTTTTTTGTCTCACTGTGGTGAGAAAGTTAAAATGGCTGAAATCAACAAAACAATTGACAACACGTGCTAGCAATGGTGTGGGGAAAGGGGAACCCTCATTCACTGTTAGTGGGAATAGAAGCTGGTCAAACCACTCTGAAATCAGTATTAATAATCACCAAAAAGCTAAAAATTAAATCACCATATGACCCAGCTATACTATCCTTGGCATATGCCCAAAGGACTTGACATCCTACTTCATAGATACTTGCTCAGCCATGTTCAAAGCTGCTCTATTGACAATAGCTTAAGAAATGGAAATAGTCTAAATGTCTTTCAACAG